TCTAAGTCATAATTATGTCAATGGACTTTGAAAATATTTGAACTATTACAAAAACTTTAATGTAAATTCTAAGTCGAAAAAGGGGCATAATTCTGTCAAAATGCTTGATAGAATTACCTCCTCCTGTCTACAGGTTGGGGTCATGATGATGAACAAGTGTGCAAAGTTTCAAAGCCATATGTCAATGGACTTTGAAAATATTTGAACTATTACAAAAACTTTAACATAAGTGGTTACGCCAACGCAGACGCCGACGCTCGGGTGACTACAATAGCTCTACTTATTCTTATCGAATAGTCGAGCTAAAAATGATTTGCTAAACAAGAGGGCCACGATGGCCCTGGATTGCTCCCCTGACCCATCAACAGCTTCCAAGCAATGTCTTAGACAAGCATCCTGGCCAAGTTTTATGACAATTGAGTCAAGAATGTGACCTCTAGTGTGTTAAAAAGGTTTTTCCATATTTGGGCAATGTGACCTAATTTTTGACCGAAGACAACCCATATTCAAACTTGACCTAGAAATCATCAAAACAACCTTCCTGAAAAATTCCCAGAATGATTGGATCAAAACTGCAGCGATTAATATTAAAATTATTTTTCTATTTTTAGCTCCTGTGACCTAGTTTTTGACCAGAGATGACCCATCTTCCAATTTGACCTAGAAATCATCAAAACAATCTTCCTGACAAATTTTCAGAATATTTGGATTAAAACTGCAGCCACTAGAGAGTTAACAAGCTTTTTCTATTTTTAGCTCTTGTGACCTAATTTTTGATTGGAGATGACTAATCTTCAAACTTGACCTAGGAATCATCAAAACAGCCTTTCCAGAATATTTGGATCAAAACTGCAGCCACTAGAGTGTTAACAAGCTTTTCTTTTTTTAGCTCCTGTGACATAGTTTTTGACCGGACATAACCCTTCTTCAACTAGACCTAGATATCATCAAAACAACCTTCCTGACAAATTTCCAGAATATTTGGATCAAAACTGCAGTCACTACAGTGTTAACAAGCTTTTTCTATTTTCATCTCTGGTGACCTAGTTTTGGACCAGAGATGACCCAACTTCGAACTTGACCTAGGAATCATCAAAACAAATTTTCCTGACAAATTTCCAGAATATTTGGATCAAAACTGCAGTCACTAGAGTGTTAACAAGCAATTATCATAGTATTGCAAGCAATCCATAAGTCCCCTACCAGTTAAAACCCCAGCAACTTTCTGAACTGCCATTGACTTATGTTTCTAATTTGTTGAAAAAGTCCTTTAAAAGTGAAAAAGTCCTTTAAAAGTGATCACAGGAAAAAGTTTTTTATGTACAGACAAACAGACGGACTGAAGGACACTCTAAAGTTATTTTTTTAAACATCCCTGTTATTAAAATATAATAGCAAAATTCTTAAAGAAGAGATAACTCTTGAAAAAAAGATGCAAGACGTCATACATGATGTGATGATGTGAGTGTAACAAAGAACAATTAGTAATGAAGGTGTTGATAATGAATTTTTTTTTTAATTTGAAGTAAAAGAAAGTGAAAAGAATGAATGAGAAAAATTCAAAGCTTAAGGAGGAGATAATTCTGGAAATATGGATGCTAGATTTATAAACCTTGTCATATTATTATGATGTGGGAGTTTGAAGAAAATCCTATAATGATTGAAAAAGTTGGAGTTAAAATTACCAATTTCTCGAAAAAAGTCTAAGTTCAAAAGGGGCATAATTCTGGAAATAGTCTTGCTAGAGTATTGAACATTTTCACAAATGTTGTATGATAATAAGAAACATAGATATGAAGTTTGAAGTAGATACATTCACAAAAAAGGAAGTTATTAAAAAAACAATATTCTTTTCATGAAAATTCTAAGTTCAAGGCAGGAAATTCTAATAATTTTTGTGCTAGAGTTGTAAACATTGTCACATTTGATGTGGTTGATAACTAGAAACTTATATTTAAAGTTTGAAGAAAATACCTTAAGAAATAAAGAACTTATAGTGAAAAAACGTTAAAACTTGAATCAGAAATCTTGAAATTCAGTCTATTTGTTGCCATAGCAACCAGAATTTTCAACATAAGAAGAAATGAAAAGAATGTGCATAATCTCCAGACTGCCATCTACTCATACATTTGTATTTCAAGTTTCATAAGAATATTTTCAGTACTTTATGTGTTATCACTGGATCCGGGTTATGTGTAAAATTTGCCATATTTTCAGTCTATTTGTTGTCATAGCAACCAGAATTTCCAACATAGGAAGAAAAGAAAAAGATGTGCATAATTTCCATACTGCCATCTATCCATATATCAAGTTTCATAAAAATATTTTCCGTACTTTCTGCGTTATCTTGGGATCAATTTTTGTGGACGGACGGACTGACGGACGGACAGACGGACGGACAGACGGACGCACGGAGGGTAAACCTAAAGTCCCCTCTGGTAAACCAGTAGGGGACTAACAAGCTTTTTCTATTTTTAGCTCCTGTGACATAGTTTTTGACTGTAGATGACCCATCTTTGAACTTGACCTGGAAAACTACCTTCCTGACAAATTTCCAGAATATTTGGATCAAAACTGCAGCCACTAAAGTGTTAACAAGCTTTATCTATTTTTAGCTCCTGTGACCTAGTTTTTGACTGGACATGACCCATCTTCGAACTCGATCTGTATTTTATTGAGACAAACATTTTGAGAAAGTCTGACGATGATCCAATCAAAACTGTGACTGCTACACTGTTAACAACCCAATTGTTGATGATGTACGACGCCAAATGCCGGATATATAGCCCCATCACTATACCTCACCTTGACCACTTCGTGGTCAGGTGAGCTTAAAATTATAAAAAACTAGAACTATCACTAAATGTGATTAATACCCCCACAAGACTGCTTCAGAAATGAGGATGTTACTAGTAACAGAATACCTTGTTAAAGAATTGAAATATAGAGCTATGGTTGTGGGCAATTTAAGATAGTTGTGGTTCTTGTATGTTGCATTTCCTTTCAATGTGGTTGGCCATTGATGAAGTTTCATTGAATTACTCTGTAATAAGTCCAGAAAGACAAGGAAAAGAAACAAAGGGCAATAACTCTATAAATACTGAAGATGGAGTTATAGTTCTTGTGCACTGCACTTCCTGTTATTGTGCTTGACCATTGTATGAAGTTGTTTTGAATTCCAACCAGTCATTTTTAAGTTATGCTCCGGACAAGGAAAAGTATCAAAGGGCAGTAACTCTGTATTTTGTCAAAATGGAGTTATGGCTCTTGTGCACTGCACTTCCTTTTAATGTCCTTGACAACTAACTGTATGAAGTTGTATTGAATTTCAAACAGTAGTTTTCAAATTATGCTCTGGAAAAGGAAATGTAACAAAGGGCAATAACTCTGTAATTAGTCAAGATGGAGTTATTGTGCTTGTGCACTGCACTTCCTCTCAATGTGCTTGACCATTGTATGAAGTTATATTGAATTCCAACTATTAGTCTTCAAGTTATGCTCCAGACAAAAAAAGCAATGGAAAAGTATCAAAGGGCAATAACTCTGTAATTAGTCAAGATGGAGTTATAGTTCTTGTGCACTGCACTTCCCCTTATTGTGCTTGACCATTGTATGAAGTTGTTTTGAATTCCAACCAGTAGTTTTCAAGTCATGATCTGGACAAGGAAAAGTAACAAAGGGCAGTAACTCTGTAATAAGTCAAGATGGAGTTATGGTTCTTGTGCACTGCACTTCCTCTCAATGTGCTTGACCATTGTATATATTTATATTGAATTCCAACAATTAGTCTTCAAGTTATGGTCTGGACAAAAGAAAGGAATGGAAAAGTAACAAAGGGCAATAACTCTGTAATTACTTTAGATAGTGTTATGGTTCTTGCGCACTGCACTTCCTCTTATTGTGTTTGACAATTGTATGAAATTGTTTTGGATTCCATCCAGTAGTTTTCAAGTTATGCCCCGGACAAGGAAAAGAAACAAAGGGCAATAACTCTGTAATTAGTCAAGATAGAGTTATGGTTCTTGTGCACTGCACTTCCTCTCAATGTGCTTGACCATTGTATACATTTATATTGAATTCCAACCAATAATCTTCAAGTTATGGTCCGGACAAAAGAAAGGAATGGAAAAGTAACAAAGGGCAATTACTCTTTAATTACTTTAGATAAAGTTATGGCTCTTGTGAACTGCACTTCCCCTTATTGTGTTTGACAATTGTATGAAGTTGTTTTGGATTCCATCCAGTAGTTTTCAAGTTATGCCCCGGACAAGGAAAAGAAACAAAGGGCAATAACTCTGTAATTAGTCAAGATGGAGTTATGGTTTTTGTGCACTGCACTTCCTCTCAATGTGCTTGACCATTGTATAAATTTATATTGAATTCCAACCAATAATCTTCAAGTTATGGTCCGGACAAAAGAAAGGAATGGAAAAGTAACAAAGGGCAATAACTCTGTAATTACTTTAGATAGAGTTATGGTTCTTGTGCACTGCACTTCCCCTTATTGTGTTTGACAATTGTATGAAGTTGTTTTGAATTCCAACCAGTAGTTTTCAAGTTATGCCCTGGACAAGGAAAAGTAACAAAGGGCAATAACTCTGTAATTAGTCAAGATAGAGTTATGGTTCTTGTGCACTGCACTTCCTCTCAATGTGCTTGACCATTGTGTGTAGTTTATATTGAATTCCAATCATTAGTCTTCAAGTTATGCTCCGGACAAGGAAAATGCAACGGACGTCTGGACCGACCGACAGACCGACCAACCGACCGACAGACCGACCACCGGGTGACTCCTATATACCCCCCCAAACTCCGTTTTTGGGGGATAAAAATCATTTAACAAGATATACTGATAATCTGCATATCTTTTCTTGGTAGTGAAGCAACCTATCAAGATTTAATGAATTCCAGTCAGTGGAACTGATTGGACAAAAGTTTTAGATATAAGGCGGTAGAATGGATGTATGGATGGATGGACAAATAGGTGACAATATACATGGTCATTGGGAAGCATAATAAAAACCTAGTAAACACTGTTTTTTACCTTCAAAATGTTCAACAGCTTCTCCTGATATAACATGTGCTAGCTCCCCTGCACCTGGTAAAGATTCAATCAAAATGTTGTATGATGTGTCAAATCTTTCATCCAGTGATCTAGTTTCCTGAAACTTTTTGATATTGTATTCCTTAATTTTTTTGGTCATGTAATCTGTTGACATGACTAATCCCTTTGTAAAACCAGAGGCACACCCTTCTTTGTGGACATCTCTCCTAATTGGATCTACATCAAACACCCGCCAATTTGGCACATACATAGCATCAGAATTTTTCAAACGAGAGTCACAACTCTCAAGAATGTCGTCTGCAACTTGAACAGATGCCACGTCAACAGCTTCTGGATTATATAATAAACATTTCCTAGTTCCCAAATGACGGTAGCTAGGGAACGGGTCAGCCCTGTCAATCCTGGCTTCAACGTTCACTTCACAGTCCCTTAAACAATGAGCACACGTCAGACAGTGATCTTTAGCTTCACTGATTTCATACCCACTACTAACCATCGCTCCTGTATTTTGCTGACTCACTCTGTGCTCTTGCTGTTTAGGTCTTAAATTAAAAAAGCAACCTAAACTTCCGTGATTATAATTCCCATGACCTCCAACAAACTGTGCTCGCAATTCATGTCCAAGTTCCACAAAATGCGGGATAGTTCTTACTTGTTCAGTCTGTTCTGACATCATAACATATTTGTATCCTTCAATATAGTTATATTCCTGTAATATTTGCTTGATTTCTTCTTTCCGGGCTGGGTATAACATCTTGTTTACATGCAACACAAGTTCACCATAGCAAGTTCCGCAGCCAGTAACCTCATCAAGGCTGAAATATTGCATCTACCTGATATTATGATGTACACTGAACAAAAGATAACTACAGCAACTAGCAACCAAGTCTTAATCATAATAATTATTAATTATATATCAAATTTGAGCCGCATCATGTCAAAACCAACATAATGGGTCTGATCAGGATCCATGCTGTCACTATCAGTTTCTTTACTTGTTATAGGGTTTATAAGCGAACAGCATGGATCCTGATCAATGCGCGGATGCGCAGGCTGCTCTGGATCCATGCTGGTCGCAAAAGCACTATGTTGGTTTTGTCGTGATGCTGCTCATTTATTTTTTTCATGTCTAAGCTCAACATCCACATCACAATATGAAATTTACAGTCATTATTCACTTAACTTACAATTTCAATATGCAACAATTAAGCAAAATTCGGTTCCAACAATTTGTACAGAACAATTTTTGGATTGGTATTAAGGTTGTATATTTTGAAAACCAAAACATACAAACAGGAATATTTAATAACACATTTATTCAACTTTCAGATATATCTGCTATCTACATTTAAAAAGTCTTCAGTATATGAAATTTCAGCAAATTTGATATATTTACGTTACAATAAAATTTTGTATTTATCCTTACCTCAACAACTCATACTGTAAATTGACAGGGAGTTTTGGCAGCTCCGGGACAGACGTGGAAATTGGAACCTTAGCCTGGGTCAGGTAACCATGAAGCTCAAACTGTAGCTTTTTCAGCACAATTAATGTGTTCAGTTTAGATTTGATGTAGTCTTCCATACTATGTATCAATTTAGTCATGTTCATCCCACACCTGTACGAGAATACGCGGCAAGTAGAAACTCCATCATCTGTCCTGTCACGAGGCCATGTCGGCATGTTCATTGTTCCGAGTAATTCTAATACTCTCGCTTTGTAGTCAAAGAATCCCTCATTCAGAAATTCGTTGATAATCGATGCAGATATTCCAAATTTTCTGGTCAGTGTGTCGCAAACTACACATTTTGTTTTATTTACAACAAAGTCCGTGAGTTTCTTCTTAAATATTTCATCTTTCTTCTGATCCGAACCAAGTGCTAGAAAGGAACCTGAAAGAAACATCAACATATTTTAAATATGACTGGATGCTAATGTATAATGGAAGTTTCAATTATAATTCTGTAAAGTTAATAAATGGTATTATATATTAAGTTATCAACCCTTACTTTGCTGGAAGCAAAAGAGATTAGCCTTTGCCACAACTATACAGTGTCATATTAACTTCAATTTGGCTTATCTTCACTTCTCATAATGCAGGGTTTTTAGCTTTATATGAGGCAACAGATGTGCCAACGAAAACAACCGATTTGACCAAGGGTCAAGGGGGATATTTTAATTGACAAGCTAAAAAAAAACACTGATTTTAACAGCATTTTAACTGATGATATGGATCGCCAATCTACTAATAATGAAAACCCTGTAATGTATCTAAAAATCTTCAAAGGAAAGGGCATTTAAAAACATTGCTTACTTTCAAAACTCGAAACATCAATTTTAACTCCTTTCAACGATTTAAGCAGGTAATTCAATGTGGCATGATCGCCTTCCCTTTTCCTCCATATCCGTAAAATATGACTACATCTTTCAAAATCTGAGTTTGATTCCAATTTGATTCTGTCTAAGTCAGGTTTTGATATACCCAGTACCTCGGCCACCCTTTGCCATTCTCGTGCTATATATGGCGACATAAAGCTAATATCGCTGTCAGTGGGTATCTTCTCGCCAAGAATAGCTGCGAAAAAAATCAAGTTTTTAGGCATAAATGAATTCTAAAGAAATAGTATTTTATTATGTGGTAATAAATTCATAACTTTAACCCTTTTACCTGCTGGTACTTAAAAGTGATTAGGCTTTCTTTTTTTTTTTTAGCTTTTTATACTTTTTTTGGTTTTTCATAAAAAAAAAAAAATGAAAATAAAAAGGAATTTTAGTTAAATTTCAAAAATGAAAGCAATTACTTTTTGGGTATTGGAAATGAACTGACTTCTTAAGTAATAGGGAAAAAAATGTCTGACATAGAAGGTAAATTAGACTTTTTTAGTTTTTTTTACTTTTTATTGATTTTTTTCATGAAAAAAAAAGAAGACAAGAGGGCCATGATGGCCCTAGATCGCTCACCTGACTTATCAAACTCATCCAAACAATTACCTAGACAAGCATTCTGACCAAGTCTCATGACAGGTGAGTCAAAAATGTGACCACTACAGTGTTAACAAGAAAAGCATTGATGCAAAGCATCAAAGGGCGACGCCAAAAGAATTTGATCCAGATTTGCACCTAAATACTTAACAAAAGATGTGTACTTTATAGCAGTACCATTACATGTGACCTGGAGGCTAGGGCCAGGTTAAGTTGAAACTTAAACCAAAAAAGAATAGACTCTGTCTTGCCAAGATGCAAAGGCAATTTATAGTCAATTAAGCAATCTTATAAGACTCATGTTATAAGAAAGAATTTCTTTAGATTTAATTTATGAGACACAAGGATTCCTGAGTCATCAGCATATAATCACTGGCACGCGAGTATCGGACCTGGGAAGAAAAAATATGACCAGATGACCAGATTGATAAAAAAACTGTGTTTATAAAAACCAAAACAAAAAATGTAAATAATGATCCCCTTTAAAAATATACTATCAACTTGAAGTATATTTTTAAAGGGGGTCATTATTTACATTTTATTTTGGTTGTTGACACTTTTAAGATGAACACAGGTTTTTTTATCAATCTGACCATATTTTTTCATCCAAGGTCTGATACTCGTGCCTGTGCATTATAATAAAAGCTTATTGCTTAGGGTTGAAGACATGTAATTGACATATATTAGACATAAAAGAGGACCTAAAATGAACATCAGGGGGACAGCATAGGTACTCAGAGCAGTAGTAGAATAAGTACCAGCCACATCAACCAGCTACTATCAGAGATAAGACTTAAACCATGTAAGAATGTCATTATATATGGCAGATGCTTGAAGTTTCATGAAGAAGAAGAAAAACAACTTCTTCATGTGCAGGATAGTGTGTTCAACTATATCAAATGCCCTTTGTAGATCTAAAAGTATCATGCAATACTGCCTTTGTCCATTTCAAATAATGCAATCTGTTAAATGAATCAAACATGTGTCAATTGAAAAACCACTTCTAAACCTTGACTGAAACTGCCTGACCATGACTCGAACCCATGACTTTCAGAAGACCAACTGAGCTATCCGTCCTGCTACACATTTTCTCTTGAATAATGAAACAGTTCTAAACCACAACATATTTCCCCACTATATCGATTTGTGTTCGTGAATTTCTTATGTTACAGAGCATAGGAAATTGAACTCATGCTTATATGCAGTCACAGGATGAGAAAAACTTTGAGCTTGACCAGAACTCAAACCTGTGACCAACATAAGAAATTTTATAAAGGCTGATTTGTATTTTGCATCAAGGGCACCGGGCAAAAACATGAAAATGCAACAAACAAACCACTTTGTGGTAGATTGTATTTTCATGTTTTCATCTGGCGCCCAGTTACTTTTTGTACTATGTTGGTTTTCATGTGGCACAAATCACCCACTATAAATTTAGTGCACAAATTTATTCAAGGGCAAGTAACAATCTACTCTATGTACAGTCTGTTGTCGCGTTGACTCAGGAGACCTGGAGGTTGAGACCGGTGTCTCTTCATTACAAATAGATAAGACATAAGCTGTCCTTTTCAAACTATGCACATGTTAGAAAAAAAATAGAATAACTATTCAGAATATGATTTTTTGAGACTTTATTAATTATATTGCTTGATCCAAGTTTAAGGACATTTTCAATCAATACATGTTTTATCATTTATAACTTTAAATGAAAGTCTCATTCCTTTAATAATAATGACATAACTGTATCTCTTTAAATGCAGAAAAATTATAAGTCTCAACATATCAATATACTACTGTCTAAGATATACATGTACATGCACATAACATTAATAATTCCCAGTTTATATTAAATAAATATGAAATCCTAACATTAACATTAACATGCTTTTGATGACCTTACAACTGGTGAATTATATACAACAAAAATAGTATTATAAGTAATACCTAAGATAGACAGAAAAGAACAAATAATTTAGTAAACATAAGTTACTTCCCCTTAAAATAAAGAAAACCTGAAACCCAAAAGAACCACGATAAACAGCAAAATTATGAAATGTTGCAGGTTCAATTTTATCAAGCCATGCAAATTAATGGTAAAGTATTCATAAAAAAATAGATGGCCATGTGTCAGCAGTAATTGCAGAAAATCCGGATAGCTTTCAACATCCGGATACTGGTACACTTTGTAAAAACAACCCATTCTGCGCAACAGATAAATGTAATAAGGATAAATCAATAGGATAATCGTTTACAACAGTTCCATTACCTATCCTTATACTCAATTGCAGGTGAACTTTCTTCTTGTAGGAAAATTTTGAAAAATGTATAAATGATACGGCCTCAATCTAGACCACAACGATATTCGAAATCCGGGTTTTAGTATTGTCATTAAAACTAAGGGACAAGCTGTTAAACTTAACCCGCAATTTCGTGAAAATAATATCACAATGCACATGCTTTTTACATAAAGTTATTAAATACAAATATAACAACACATTTGTTTACTTGATTTTTACGAATCAAAATAAAACTAATTTACACAACATGAAATTAACTGCTAATAATAACAGCTCCTTCCATAGGCAAAAATAAAAAGCGTTCCATAATAGACGACGCCGCTCACCGGCGTCGCCAACAAGGATTATCCATATTTGAGCAGTGCGACCTAGTTTTTTACCCAGGTGACACATATTCAAAATTGACCTAGAAATCATCAAAACAAACTTTCAGATTAATTTCCAGGATACTTGGATCAAAACAGTAGCAACTAGAGTGTTAACAAGATTTTTCTATTTTTAGCTCCGGTGACCTAGTTTCACATGCGATTTCGAACTCATCCTCGCAATTACCTAGACAAGCATCCTGACCAAGTTTGATGATAATTGAGTCGAAAATGTGACCACTAGAATGTTAACAAGGTTTTTCCATATTTGGGCGGTGTGACCTAGTTTTTCATCCAAGATAACCCATGTTCGATCTTGACTTAGAAATCATCAAAACAAACTTTCAGACCAATTAACAGATTATTTGGATCACAACAGTAGCCACTAGAGTGTTAACAAGATTTTTCTATTTTTAGCTCCTGTGACCTAGTTTTTCATCCGAGATGTCCCATGTTCGATTTATTCCCAGCAATGACCTAGACAAGTTTCCTGACCAAGTTTGATGACGATTGAGTCAAAATTGTGACCACTAGAGTGTTAACAAGGTTTTTCTATTTTCAGCTCCTGTGACCTTGTTTTTCATCCGAGATGACCCATGTTCGAACTCATCCGAGCTATCACCTAGACAAGCATCTTGATCAAGTTTTATGATGATTGATGCAAAAATGTGACCGCTAGAGTGTTAACAAGGTTTTTCCATATTTGGGCGGTGTGACCTAGTTTTTCATCCAAGATAACCCATGTTCGATCTTGACTTAGAAATCATCAAAACAAACTTTCAGACCAATTAACAGATTATTTGGATCACAACAGTAGCCACTAGAGTGTTAACAAGATTTTTCTATTTTTAGCTCCTGTGACCTAGTTTTTCATCCGAGATGTCCCATGTTCGATTTATTCCCAGCAATGACCTAGACAAGTTTCCTGACCAAGTTTGATGACGATTGAGTCAAAATTGTGACCACTAGAGTGTTAACAAAGTTTTTCTATTTTCAGCTCCTGTGACCTTGTTTTTCATCCGAGATGACCCATGTTCGAACTCATCCGAGCTATCACCTAGACAAGCATCTTGATCAAGTTTTATGATGATTGATGCAAAAATGTGACCGCTAGAGTGTTAACAAGGTTTTTCTATTTTTAGCTCCGGTGACCTACTTTTCATCCAAGATGACCCATGTTCAAACTCATCCAAACTATCACCTAGACAATCATCTTGACCAAGTTTGATGATGACTGATGCAAAAATGTGACCGCTAGAGTGTTAACAAGGTTTTTCTATTTTTAGCTCCGGTGACCTATTTTTTCATCCGAGATGACCCATGTTCGAACTCATCTGAGCTATCGCCTAGACAAGCATCTTGACCAAGTTTGATGATGATTGATGCAAAAATGTGACCGCTAGAGTGTTAACAAGGTTTTTCTATTTTTAGCTCCGATGACCTACTTTTTCATCCAAGATGACCCATGTTCGAACTCATCCAAGCTATCAACTAGATAAGCATCCTGACCAAGTTTGATGATGATTGATGCAAAAATGTGACCGCTAGAGTGTTAACAAGGTTTTTCTATTTATAGCTCCGGTGACTTAGTTCTTCATCCAAGATGACCCATATTTGAACTCATCCGAGCTATTATCTAAACAAGCATCCTGACAAAGTTTGATGATGATTGGGTCAAAAATGTGACCACTAGAGTGTTCACAAGGTTTTTCTATTTTTTTGCTCCTGTGACCTAGTTTTTCATCAGAGATGACCCATGTTCGACCTCATCCAAGCAATTGACTAGACAAGCATTCTGACCAAGTTTGATGATGATTGGTTCAAAAAAGTGACCACTAGAGTGTTCACAAGGTTTTTCTATTTATAGCTCCTGTGACCTACTTTTTCATCCAAGATGACCCATGTTCAAACTCATCCGAGCTATCACCTAGACAAACATCCTGACCAAGTTTGATGATGATTGGGTCAAAAATGTGACCTCTAGAGTGTTCACAAGGTTTTTCTATTTTTAGCTCTTGTGACCTAGTTTTTCATCCGAGATGAGCCATGTTCAAACTAATCCGAGCTTTCAACTAGATAAGCATCCTGACCAAGTTTGATGATGATTGAGGCAAAAATGCGACCGCTAGAGTGTTAACAAGCAATTGTGGACGGACGACGGGCATTCACCGATCCTAAAAGCTCACCCTGAGCAAGCTCAGGTGAGCTAAAAAAAAAAAGGAATTGTAAATAAATTTCAAAACTGAAAGAAAATACCTTTTGGGCATTGGAAATGAATTGACTTCTTAAGTAATAGAGAAAAAATTATTTGAAATTTGAAGTAAAGATACCTTCACTATTTGGTGACAGATCTTTGACAACAAAAGGATTCCTTAAACTTTCAATCAGCATCACATGTATAGCATCTAAGAGCGAACTATCTACTTCTTCTTCTCTACGCGGTATAAACTCCTGATTATAACCTGCTATCATCTCTAACACTGCCATTACTTTCCTCTCTAACACATACTGTACTTGATGTACAAGGGTACGCTTCACTGGCTCGCTATGACGTGACCTCTGGTCAAGGTCAGTATACAGGACAGCGGTTTTACTGCTGACATCAAAGAGAATCACCCCTTCCTGTTGATCCTCCGTCAGTTTACAACATTCATCCTGTACCTACAAAAAAAATATTCCGATATCACAATGTCACATTTCACGAGGATCATGTTTTAAAGAATTAAACAAAGCGCTGTTATTTTGTAATGACCCTTTATAATACTGGGCTATGTTTCATAGAAAGTCCTAAGTCTGAACTCAGCCCTTAGACTAATTGCGTTTCAAAGAACATGTCCTTACTTATAACTCCTATATTAAGACTCTTTAAATTTCTGAATAGCAATGCTGATGGGCATTTAGACATTACGAATGAAAGAGTCTGTCACTGTAATTGTTAACTTTTCTTAGTAAAAGAATTACTTTGTAATCTACAGTATTTGACTGAAGATAAAAATGTTTATTGAAAAGGTCTTAAATAAGTCCTAAAGTTGGTATAATGTACTAAGACTTAGGATATATTTAGGACTTTCTATGAAATGCAGTCCTGAATGTTTGTATATATATATATATAATAAGTACATAATATACTGGTATACATACATAATTATTTATATCACTGCATGTTTGTAACGCAGTGATTTCTATTTATTACATGCTTTTCGGTGGTTTATAGAAATATATCAGTGATATAAAACTAGTAATTTCACTGTTTGAAACAGTGAAATTACCACTTTGATAATTTCACTGTTTTGAATTTAAGCCCCTTACGTTGTTTCAGTGAAATACCAGCGTGCACAGAACTGGGTACCAACTTAATGACGTGACGTCGTAAATGACGTCACGTTGTATTATTATTTGGCGCGCTTTTCATTTAGTATTAGGTTTAATGTCTTTTTAAAACGTTTCTTTTCATATAATAAAAAGAAAATTTGTTTAGTTTAGTGTAAGATCAAATATATTTCACCTTGTGAACACCAAAAGTTCATATTTCACTCATGGCTGCGCCACTCGTGAAATATACCTTTTGGTGCTCACTCTGTGAAATATATTCCAATCTTATACTGAACTAAACAAATATCCTCTATATAAACACTGCTGCCATTTATGCTTGATTACTTTTTAACTCTAATAATGGAAGTTTGCTGAATTATAAAGAATTTTGACATGTAATTTCGCTGTTAATATAACCAGTTGTTTGTAATATAACCATCCCAAAGCAACTTGGATTATATATATATTCCAACAACCATTTATATTAGTACATGTAATATAGTTATTACATAAATAAAACTAGACCTATCACTGAAGGTGATTAATACCCCCACCAGCAACTTTGAATTTTGAAAAAAAAGTAGTCTGAAGAAAAATTTGAACAAAAACTATCAACTGTGTACAAAGAAATATTTCAATTAATTGTAATCACAACTGGGGTCTTGAAATAAGCTTGCTATACACCAAGTTTGATTACAATATCTCATTCCTAACTCTAGTTAATGTCCGGAAACCATTTTTCTATTTTAAATAACACTATAACGGTGACCTTGATCCTAGGGGGTCCAAATGCAATACCAACCCAGGACTTCATATAAGCTTCCTATACACCAAATAAGATTATAATATCTCATTCCTAACTCTAGTTATTGTCCGAAAAGCATTTTTCTATTTTTCGTAACAGTGACCTTAACCTTGACCCCAGGGGGTTCAAATGCAATACCAACCAAAGTCTTCATATAAGCTTGCTAAACACCAATTTTGATAACAATATCTCATTCCTAACTCTTAGTTATTGTCCGGAAACCATTTTTCTATTTTTAGTAACACTCTAACGGTGACCTTGACCCTAGGGGGTCCAAATGCAATACCAACCCAGGTCTTCATATAAGCTTCCTTTACACCAAATTAGATTACAATATCTCATTCCTAACTCTAGTTATTGTCCGAAAACCATTTTTCTATTTTTCCTAACGGTGACCTTGACCTTGACACCAGGGGGTTCAAATGCAATACCAACCCAAGTCTTCATATAAGCTTGCTATATGCCAAGTTTGATAACAATATCTCAATCCTAACTCTAGTTATTGTCCAGAAACCATTTTTCTATTTTTAGTAACGGTGACCTTGACCCCAGGGGGTCCAAATGCAATACCAACCCAGGTCTTCATATAAGCTTGCTATACACCGAGTTTGATTACAGTATCTCATTCCTAAGTCAAGTTATTGTCCGGAAACCATTTTTCTATTTTTAGTAACAGTGACCTCGACCTTGACCCCAGAGGGCCCAAATGCAATACCAACCCAGGTCTTCATATAAGCTTGCTATACGCCAAGTTTGATAACAATATCTCATTCCTAACTCTAGTTATTGTCCGGAAACCATTTTTCTATTTTTAGTAACGGTGACCTTGACCTTGACCCCAGGGGGTCCAAATGCAATACCAACCCAGGTCTTCATATAAGCTTGCTATACACCGAGTTTGATTACAGTATCTCATTCCTAAGTCAAGTTATTGTCCGGAAACCATTTTTCTATTTTTAGTAACAGTGACCTTGACCTTGACCCCAGAGGGCCCAAATGCAATACCAACCCAGGTCTCCATATAAGCTTGCTATACGCCAAGTTTGATAACAATATCTCATTCCTAACTCTAGTTATTGTCCGGAAACCATTTTTCTATTTTTAGTAACACTGTAACGGTGACCTTGACCCTAGGGGGTCCAAATGCAATACCAACCCAGGTCTTCATATAAGCTTCCTTTACACCAAATTAGATTACAATATCTCATTCCTAACTCTAGTTATTGTCCGAAAACCATTTTTCTATTTTTCCTAACGGTGACCTTGACCTTGACCCCAGGGGGTTCAAATGCAATACCAACCCAGGTCTTCATATAAGCTTGCTATATGCCAAGTTTGATAACAATATCTCAATCCTAACTCTAGTTATTGTCCAGAAACCATTTTTCTATTTTTAGTAACGGTGACCTTGACCCCAGGGGGTCCAAATGCAATACCAACCCAGGTCTTCATATAAGCTTGCTATACACCAAGTTTGATTACAGTATCTCATTCCTAAGTCAAGTTATTGTCCGGAAACCATTTTTCTATTTTTAGTAACAGTGACCTTGACCTTGACCCCAGAGGGCCCAAATGCAATACCAACCCAGGTCTTCATATAAGCTTGCTATACGCCAAGTTTGATAACAATATCTCATTCCTAACTCTAGTTATTGTCCGGAAACCATTTTTCTATTTTTAGTAACGGTGACCTTGACCTTGACCCCAGGGGGTCCAAATGCAATACCAACCCAGGTCTTCATATAAGCTTGCTATACACCAAGTTTGATTACAGTATCTCATTCCTAAGTCAAGTTATTGTCCGGAAACCATTTTTCTATTTTTAGTAACAGTGACCTTGACCTTGACCCCAGAGGGCCCAAATGCAATACCAACCCAGGTCTTCATATAAGCTTGCTATACGCCAAGTTTGATAACAATATCTCATTCCTAACTCTAGTTATTGTCCGGAAACCATTTTTCTATTTTTAGTAACGGTGACCTTGACCTTGACCCCAGGGGGTCCAAATGCAATACCAACCGGAGTTTCCACATAAGGTTGCTATATACCAAGTTTGATTACAATACCTCATTCCAAACTCTAGTTATCGTCCGGAAACCATGATGTGGACCGACCGACGGACCGACCGACCGACCAACCGACTGACCGACCGACAAGCTGACTCCTATATACCCCCCCTAAACTTCGTTTGTGGGGGTATAAAAAGTCATATATAATATAACTTGTCAAAATTCTTTACAACTTATCATATACATTGTAATTTGTATTAATGACTGCTGTCAATTTAAGAAGAAATTTTCATTTTTCTTGAAATAAAGTGATTATCCAATTTCCTGAATTTGTTATCAACATTTCTGAAGGTTAAAAGATCGTGTATAAGTAATTGTATGTAGTATAGCTAGCCACTTGAGTTGAATATCATGTACATTGTACAGTTGTATATTATGCTTACAAATGTTTATTTAGACTGGGACATAAAACCTGTCAAAACTCTTTAAAACTAATTATAATAATACATATTAAAGCTTATATCAAAAAAATAATTTTCTTCTACAAATTGTATAAACATCATACCTTTTCCTCAGACTGTGATACAATCACAGTCACTGTAGGTTGGAATTCATTGGTTTCTGTAAGGCTTTTCACATAACCAGTCCATTGCAATCTAGCTTCGCTAATTTTAGTTTTCTGCTCAGGAAGATCAAGTTTTTGTTCCTTCAACAAGACAGCATCAGCAAAGAGATTGACAGTGACCTCATCAGTGATATGTTCTGCTGCTGCTGATATCTTTTTAAGTATTGTCCTACCCTGTGACACACAATCCGGCAAACCTCCAGCTTCTGAAAAATAGATACATAAAATGCTGAATATGGAACCAAGTTGAGTTGTATGCAGTATTACCACTACACTATATGATTAACCTTGGGAATAATACTGGTGTACCATTAAAAATATTAGTTTAAACTTATAAAAGCAATCCCTGCTTCTATTTCTTACAATATATGTGTGGGAAATCATAACAACAAGAGCCATGTCAACATGGCCATCCCCCGCCGAATGTGTTTGCTCATTGGAAGAAACACATTTGAGCCTCTTCATGACACTAGAACTCCGCGAGTCCGATGTGTCGCCTTGTGAACAATATAGTTTAGGAGAAATGGGCAGGACGAAAATTAATGAAATATGAAAATTAACAAAGGGCAATAACTCAAAAAATAAGAAATGCAGAGCAGCAGTTTCTGTGCACTGCACTTCTTATCAATAAGATCTATCATCCTATGAAGTTTCAAGTCTATAGCTTTTATAATTTATGACAAATGGCCTGGACAAAAATAAAGTATGAAAATTAATAAAGGGTAATAACTCAAAAATAAGAAGTGCAGAGTTCCAGTTCTTGTACACTGCACTTTTTCTTAATGAGATCTATCATCCTATGAAGTTTAAAGATCATAGCTTTTATACTTTAGGAGAAATGGCCTGGACAAAAATAAAGTATGAAAATTAACAAAGGGCAATAACTCAAAAAATAAGAAATGTAGAGTACCAGTTCTTAAGCATTGCACTTCTTCTTAATGAGATCTATCATCCTATGAAGTGACATGTCCATAGCTTTTATACTTTAGGAGAAATAGCCTGGACAAAAATAAAGTATGAAAATTAACAAAGGGCAATAACTCAAAAAATAAGAAGTGCAGAGTTCCAGTTCTTGTGCACTGCACTTCTTCTTAATGAGATCTATTATACTATGAAGTTTCAAGTCCATAGCTTTTATACTTTAGGAGAAATGGCCCGGACAAAAAAAAAGTATGAAAATTAACAAAGGGCAATAACTCAAAAAATAAGAAGTGCAGAGCATCGGTTCTTGTGCACTGCACTTCTTCTTAATAAGATCTATCATCCTATGAAGTTTCAAGTCCATAGCTTTTATACATTAGGAGAAATAGCCTAGACAAAAATAAAGTATGAAAATTAACAAAGGGCAATAACTCAAAAATTAAGATGTGCAGAGTACCGGTTCTTGTGCACTGCACTTCGGGTCATTATAAGAAGCATGCATACCAAGTTTAAAGTAAATCCGACTAATATTATGACTGACTTATGCTCTGGACAAGCTTAAGGGGACGCCGACACCGACGCAGACACCGCCGACAAAAGTTAACCCTATATGTCGCCTTTTTCAAGGCGACACAAAAACCAACATAATGGGTTTGCGACCAGCATGGATCCAGACCAGCCTGCGCATCAACGCAGTCTGGTCAGGATCCATGCTGTTCGCTTACAAACCCTATTACAAGTAGAGAAACTGATAGCGAACATCATGGATCCTGATCAGACTGCGCGGATGCGCAGGCTGGTCTGGATCCATGCTGGTCGCAAACCCACTATGTTGGTTTTATCATGATGCGGCTCATTTATAACGAATCAGGGACAGCTCGGCCCTAAAACGTACTCGGCCCCCAAGTCAGCTCGGCCCTTTTCCAACTCGGCCAACTTTTCAATTGTATATATTAATATATTGGTTTGTTTTATCACTCAATATTGTTGAATAATTAATGTATGGACTTATTCACAAAAGCGGAAAGATGTTTTCTTAAATTATAAACATACGTGTATGTTCAGGGAAGGGTTAAGCGATTAATCAGGTGATAATTATATTTGACACAATCATTCAAATTTGATAAATGACCACCTGCAACTAACTAGAAGCTAATGGTAATAAATAAACACGTTTTTTATTTAATATTTTATTGAAGATAACTTAACAAACAAAAAACATCAAAGGAAACACATTTGTATTATATCAATTTTTAACGAATCTGCAAGAAAAATATAACGAATTTCTTCTTAAAACACTTTAATTTTGCAAAAGTACAATGTACAATTATATAATAATAAACCAGATATCTCTTATTTTGTCATTGATAACATTTTTTGGCCTTGACAACATGAAAGTAATCGAAAAAAAGTTAATATGTAAGTCGTTTAATGTTTTTTAAAGAGGGCCGAGTTGACCCGTGCCGAGTTGGTATAGGGCCGAGTTGACTCTTTACCATTTATAACATTTCAAACTCATTTTTCTAGTCAATTATAATAGTTTCTTAAATTCTAGTCAAATTTCAGGATTACTAAATTAGTTTAGCTAAAAATGTGTAATTAAATTTCTATGACCATTTATTATCACAGTCTACAGCATAATATAGTAGTAAAAGTGATAGTGTATTGAGTAAAAAGTTGTGGTAAAGTAACATGCCAAATTTTTCTTGGTGGCACCCTGACTCAGTTGACACATGCAGAAGAAACTCGCAAATAAGTTTTTACTAAATTTGTAGTGTTTAACACAGTCTAATCACCAACATACCTAGAATATTGTGCAATCTTGGTAGCAGTCTGTGTAATCGAGTCCGGAAGTAATGGTACCTAGGGAAGGCAATACTGCTGTATGTATATGCTAATCCTTTATCCATCTTATAAACTCAACTGAAATGTCAATTTCATGACCTTTTAAAAAACACCATTGTCAATCATCAAAAGTACAAAAATATCGTATCATAAAACAATTTTAAAATGAAATAACATTAAATTTATGGCTAATTTATTACATTTAGAATCTGACATATCAAAGATGAATATTTCTAAGTGTAACATCGATACAATTGACATACTGAGAGTAAAACGTTTTGCCTTTTGGTATGAAAAGCCTTGGGTGCGAAACAAAACTTATGAGAAATATTTTTTTTCTCTGGTTTCTCTTAAAAGCTAAGTCGATTGCGAAACTCAAAGAGGAACATAACAACACCACATTTCAAATAGCTAACATTAGTAACCAAATATGCATAATAAATATGTAAACTTAAATTTCATTAAAAAAAATTTAACCTACTTTCGTTTTCAGCTTCTAGAAACCAGTTTAATTCTCGTGGTAGACGGTACACAATCGACACGGTAAAACAACCAGAGCCACGGCCGGCAATTTAAACGCTCGACTTTTTTTAATTTTTCTAAAAGCAAACAAATAAACGATTTAAACATATCTTTATGTTTTAAAATTTCATTAGGTCTGTTTAATAACATTGGCTGTTTTGTCCAAGTATGAATCGTTTACAAAAATAAATTACCAAAGTTAAGAAAATATAAGCCACTTGAAGGTCAAGGTCATTTAAAGGTCAAGTCATATCTTAATTATTCAAATTGTCCGTTTGGTCACATGCAAGTGTTGTTTTGTCCACCTATGAATCAAATATGTACATAATTAACAAAATTATGACAACTTAACCAAAATTCAATAATTTGACGTGTGTGTATTTGCGTTTATTTATACTCGCCACCGGTTGCCCATATGGGCGAGTCCTCCAGAAGAGTATTAGTCATTTTATTTTTTTGGTGGATAGTGCAATTACAGATACAGAAAGATGCCCCAATTCCAGAAGCTTCTCCTGGTTCTTTAGCGTGCCAAGTGTTTAAGCACCCATACACTGGACCTCGATTTAAAGTCTCATCTGAAAGACTGATTAGTAATTTTAGTTGGCCAGCCCGGGAATCGAACCCACAATGTCGAGATTACAAGTCTCGCGCTCTAACCGATTGAGCTATGCGGGCTGGCTTAATAATTTGACATTGACATTCAAGGTATTTAAAGCTCAATGTCAAGGTCAGTTCAACCATACCTATAAGAAGGTCTAGTCCAAAAGGTTGTTTTGTCCAAGTATGAAGGTAATCCAATGCAAAGTAACAATAATAATCAGTGAAAATTCAATAATTTGAATTTAAGGTCAAGGTCATAAATAAGTCAAGGTCAATTTGAGTTTGATATACATGAAGGTTCTGACCTAAAAATGTTGTGTTAGTCCAGTTATAAATAACAAAGTTATAGTCAGTTACAGAAGAAAAAAACAAGATAATTAAAAAAAATTGAGCATGATTGTCACAGTCAATTAAATGTCAAGGCCACATCTAAATTATTCAATATGTTTGTTTGGTACCAAGTTTTTTTTGTCCAAGTTTTAATCAAATGTGTACATAAATAGCAAATTTAATTATGACAATTTAAACAAAATTCAATAGTTTGACCATTTAAAGCTAAAGTTCAAGTTCAACATTTTAAAAGGCCTTGTCCAAAAGGTTGTTTTGTCAAAGTATGAAGATAATCCATGTATTTATATTCCAGGTACAGTCAATTACAGCAAAAATTTGTGAAACTTCACTGATTTAACCTTCAAGGTCAATGTAATAAATGATCCAAGGTCAATTTGAGTTTAATGTACATTAAGGTATTTTCCTAAGGAATATTTTATCTTAATATAAAGTCAATATATTTTATTAATAAAGTTATAGCCAGTGATAGCAAAAAAGAAAATTTCAATAATTTGACCTTCAATGTCAAGGTCATTTATAAATGAAGGTCATGGTCTGTCTAGTTAACTTGAAGGTCTATCCGAAAAGACTGCCATGTTCAAGTTTGGAGACATCCATTCTAAAGTAACAAAGTTACAGCCACTCCGAATAGCAAACAATCAAATAAAACTTAGACATGTGACCTTGAAAGTCAAGGTCATTTATGAATGAATATCAAGTTTAGTCTGGTATTCCCAAGGGTTGTTGTAGCCAAGTATGAAGACAATACACCAATAACTTTTTCCAAAATGGAAAAAGTAAAAATGTTGCAAGCTGTTTGATTTGTGTGTTGAATGAACCATATGGGACGGCATATACTTCATTTACAACTGACCTTTGTTTCAGAAGGGAGCTAATTATATTTATTTCTACATTATTATCTGTACATGTTTCTTGGTGTGGGCCATAATTCACGCCTCAAGATCGTCTCCATGCATGGACGGAACTAGAGAGTTCAAGTTACGGTTCATCCCCCTTGCAATGGCTTACGCAAAATTCAATATTTAAATTTGAAATAAATTTTAAAAAACAAAAAATATTTGAAATGGTAAAATTTTGAATTTAGAAACATACACAGATGTGTTCATATGGCAATTAACTACGAACCTTTAATGTGACACATTAATACCATTCCACAAGAGACTTATGGACTTCAAGTAAAAGGCTGATGGAATAGTTCAAATGATTTCGTTTCCTGTATATTGTTTCTTCAGACCATTATTTTTTTACAGGTTATTTTCATGATGTCAAGCTCTCTTCGAAAGCATTACATCACTTAATTTTGGTCATTAGGTTTACCATTATCAAATTTGAAGTTAAGACTGACAAAAAGTTCAAGAAAATGTTCATACTATTTCATATTGGTTCTTTAGGGTTAACTTGTTTATGAATCAATAACAAACTACAATTTCCTTTTTATTATTGCATAAAAAAAATAATGCATGTACTTTATTGATACATTTTGCTATTTCAGCCATTATGCTACCACTGTATTGAAAATTCCTCTTATAACATTTGTTGCCATTTTTCAGCATTTTACATGACAGCAAGACGCCACTCTCTATTTAACATGATAGCAAAATGCCACTCTCTTACATGACAGCAACAAGCCACTCTCTATTTAACATGATAGCAAAATGCCACTCTCTTACATGACAGCAACAAGCCACTCTCTATTTTACATTATAGCAAAATGCCACTCTCTTACATGACAGCAAGAAGCAACTCTCTATTTAACATGATAGCTTAATGAAACTATCTCACATGACAGCAAGAAGCCACTCTCTGGTGAACATAATAGCACAATGCCACTCCCTCACATGGCAGCAAGAAGCCACTCTTTTTTTAACATAATAGTATAATGTCACTCTCTTACATGACAGCAAGAAACCACTCTCTATTTAACATAATAGCAAAATACCACTCTTTTACACGACAGCAAGAGGCCAGTCTCTAATTAAATTGATAGTGTATTGCTACTCCCTCACATGACAGCAAGAAGCCACTCTCTATTTAACATGATAGCATAGTGCCACTTCCTCACATTACAGCAAGAAGCCACTCTCTATTTAATATGATAGCAAAATGCCACTCTCTTACATAACAGTAAGAAGCCACTCTCTATTTAACATGATAGCAAAATGTCACTCTCTTACATAACAGCAAGAGGCCACTCTCTATTTAACATGATAGCATAATGCCACTCTCTTGTGACAGCAAGAGGCCACTCTATTTAATATGATAGCATAATGCCACTCTCTTATGTGACAGCAAGAGGTCACTCTATTTAACATGATAGCAAAATGTCACTCTCTTACGTGCGAGCAAGAAGCCACTCTCTATTTAATATGATAGCAAAATACCACTCTTACATGACAGCAAGAGGCCACTCTCTATTTAACATGATATCAAAATGCCACTCTAGCAAGAAGACACTCTCTATTTAACATGATAGCAAAATGCCACTCTCTTACAGGACAGCAAGAAGCCACTCTCTATTTAACATGATAGCAAAATACCACTCTCTTACATGACAGCAAGAGGCCACTCTCTATTTAACATGATAGCAAAATGCCACTCTCTCACGTGACAGCAAGAAGCCACTCTCTATTTAACATGATAGCAAAATGCCACTCTCTTACATGACAGCAAGAAGCCACTCTCTATTTAATATGATAGCAAAATGCCACTCTCTAACATGACAGCAACAAGCCACTCTCTATTTAACATGATAGCAAAATGCCACTCTGTTACATGACAGTAAGAGGCCACTCTCTATTAAACATGATAGCAAAATGCCACTCTCTTACATGGCAGCAACAAGCCACTCTCTATTTAATATGATAGCATAATGCCACTCTCTTACATGACAGCAAGAGAGGCCACTCTCTATTTAACATGATAGCTTAATGCCACTCTCTTACATGACAGTAAGAGGCCACTCTCTATTAAAATGATAGCAAGACCATCTCTTACATGACAGCAAGAAATAACTCTCTATTTAACATGATAGCATATGCCACTCTCTTATATGACAGCAAGAAGCCACTCTCTATTTAACATGATAGCTTAATGCCACTCTCTTACATGACAGTAAGAGGCCACTCTCTATTTAATATGATAGCAAAATGCCACTTTCTTACATGATAGCAACAAGTCACTCTCTATTTAACATGATAGCTTAATGCCACTCTCTTACTTGACAGTAACAAACCACTCTCTATTTAATATGATAGCATAATGCCACTCTCTTACATGACAGCAAGAAGCCACTCTCTATTTAACATGATAGCAAAATGTCACTCTCTTACATGACAGCAACAAGCCACTCTCAAGGCATAACTGAGATAAGCATGGATACTGTCATACAAACAATCTAAAACAGACATTAAGATTTTTTTGAAATTTTTTAATAAAAAACCCATGTAATTATGGAAAATCATAAAAAAGTTTTTTAAAACCCAACACATTTAAACGGGATCTTTTAAAAATTTTAAATTAATAGTAAAATGTCCCTCCCTCCAACAAACCCACTTATTAAATATATTTTCCCCAAAGACATGGGAACCCACTTTTTTTTAAAAAGGGAAATACTTATTAATTTTTTTCACATAACATGCAAGGGAAAAAAGGGCTCCTCAGTGGGTTTTCCTGCGTTTTTTTTTTTTCAAGTAAAAGGGCTTTAAAAAATTTTCCCAAAACTTTTTAACTTTGAGCAAAGATAAGAAAAATTTAATTTTTAAAAAGGGTGTATAATATAAAAAGGATCAAATCTACACCCAAATTTAATTTAAATTTGCTACAAAAAAACCAAATTTTTTCCCACTTTTTGAAAAAGCAGGGGTTTTTTTCCAAATGGATTTATTTTAGAGCGTTTATCCCCTGTTATCTCCCATCTCTGCTTTTTTTTAAAAAATAAAATGTATCCAAAATGAAAAAAATTATTTTTTGGGGAATAAAAAAATTGATGAAAATTCTACTCAGAAAAAAATTTTAAATTTGCACATAACTTAACTTTTAAACATTTTTTTGTCCTATGTCCTCTGAATGTCGTGGTTGAATTCATCTATCTACTTGCATCCTGCAAAGAATTGAAAAGCAATTGATTCTGATTCTATCATTATTTAATAACTCAGCTTTCTGTTGAATAATAGTCAATACAAATAAGTTTTATATATGCATATGAAAATAAATTAGCTTAAAGTACTACAAATAAATATTGATACATGTATATGAAAAATAACTTTTTTGTTTTTGTTTTGTTTTGGGTTTTACGTCACATCGACACAGTATAGGTCATATCGCGACGTTCCAGCTTTACTGGTGGAGGAAGACCTCAGGTGCCCTTCCGTGCATTATTTCAGGCACGAACGGGCACCTGAGTAGAACCACCGACGTTCCGTAAGCTAGCTGGATAGCTTCCTCACATGAAAGAATCCAAAGTCCCTGTGATAACTTTAAACAAGTTAGTATTGATATTAGTGGCAGCTGGTCACTTTCAGTTAATGTATTTTAAGGTTTAAAATCAAGTGATGCTATCTTACCCAAGTGTTATCTGTGAGTTGGTATTCTAGTAGTACTGCAATCATCCTGGTTATATCAGTGACCTCACAATGTACCTTAAACAAAACACAACACTCATAATTCACAATGATATTTTTTTATCTTAAAATCTTACAGTAAAGCTTGGACCTTAAAAATGTGAAACATAATACCTGTTCTTTACATAAAAAGTTTGCCTTCAGAATACAGAAAGGACCATCTTTTCAAGATAAATGTTGAATGTTGCTAACAAGAACACTTCTCTCATAAATCAAGATGGTAATTTTGGCCTTTTTAATTAAAGGCATTTTGACAAAAATTATTAAAAGCTTTGGTCGGCCTTGACTTCAGCTGTAGTCTAGGTCCATACAAAGTGTCCAATAACCAAATATCTAAGATATTAGTGAATAATATACAGCTGACCACCCTGCAGAAAGGTATTAAGAAAATTATTTTTTTAGAGAAAAGCTGACAATAGACTTTTGCAAAGATGTACAGACAAACAAATGAAATGTAATAAAGAGCCATTTACTTTGTTACAATAAAGGGCCATGGCCCTCCTATCCTTATCAAGTTGAATACTGTCTATTCTTTTGATCTTTTCTATTTACTGGTAGAAGATGGCCTGATAACCTACCCTTTTCATATGTACAGATAAAAGCCAATAGAACGCTCACACTTATAAGCTCATAATGAGTATAATTTGCTCTAACACGCTCTAAAAGTCGGATTAACTTACCATATAAACAGGTTTGGAGGATGTGTTTTGTGTATTTTGTGATGATCTAATCATAAGTCTTCTGCTGTTGTAGTCTCCACACATTGACACGGATCCTATCTGTAACACATTACCTCATGTATGAGAACAATGTCATAACTCTCGCCAATATAATGTCATTATTCTAGCCAATAAAATGCAATAATTCTAGCCAATATAATGCCATAATTATAGTCAAAGTAATTTCATTATTCTAGCCAATATAATGCCATAATAATAGCCAAAATAATTTCATAATTAAAGTCAAAGTAATGTCATAATAATAGTCAAAATAAAATCATAATTATAGCTAAAATTATATCTTAACTATAGCCAAAATAATGCTATAATTTTAGCCAAAGTAATGCCATGTTTGTAGCCAAAATATTGTCATTATTTTGGTCAAAATAATGTCTTAATTATAATAAAAGTAATGTCATTATTCTAGCCAATTTATGCCATAATAATAACAAAATAATGCTATAATTATAGTAAAAGTAATGTTATAATAATAGTCAAAATATTGTCATAATTTTGGTCAAAATAATATCATAATTATAGACAAAGTAATGTCATTATTCTAGCCAATATATGCCATAATAATAGTCAAAATTATATCTTAATTATAGCCAAAGTAATGTCATGTTTATAGCCAAAATAATGTCTAACTAAAACAAATTTATTATGTTCACTGAAAATCAGCTAAACTATCAGAATATTTCCTGAAATTATTCTAACTAAAATGTCAGAAATTCTAACACAATCTGTGACTAATATCTGAACTTTCTTCAGGTGAACAGCTGACAAAGTCAAGGTCCATAACTCCAATTTTAAGATTATTTTAAGAAGCAGTGAATGCCACAAAATTGTGAGATTGTATGGACACAATAGTGAGTCATGTGTTAACCTTAAAAATTGATTGCTTAAAAATTTTGCCACGAAACATACTTATGCTATGTTGTTTTAATAATATAAATTAAGTTCAAAATATTTTGATGTGATTCATTCACATTCATGTTCTAGATCATGAAAAAAAAAGATTAAAAACATACTTTAAGATACTGTTGTAAACTGGGTATCCACATCTGTAATTCTATTCTTTTCTCTTCTGCTGCAGTCAGAGAAGGTGCTGGCAGTGAAACCAGTCTGTTTCAAATAAACATGTATATAATGATTAAATAATATATTATGACATTACCAGTAAAGCAATTTGCTGGCAGATAGAAGATGAGATATACCCTGACAAAGATTGTGAGCACAATTAAATTTAGAAGGGTTTTTTTTGCAGACAACACTATTACATAAAACCCCACCCAGACACTGACTTCAGGCTGATAAGTCTTTAAACTATCCCCAAAGTGCTGAGCAACAAAGCTTTTAGTAGTATTAGTATTTGATACACACTGGCTTAAAGATTGGATTAGCCCCTAATACCAGACAGACACTTACACTAGGCCATCCCAGCAGTAACTTGTACTTTCTATAAAACTTATATCAATGAACTACTTAAGTAAATACCCAAATTTTAATAACTGATAGATGGATCAGCCTTGTTAATATTCTAGTAAATTTTCACATGAAAATACTGTTAAATCAAAACAATCATAAAAGACCTCAGATGCCCCTTAAGGCACAAGTGGGCACCTGAGTAGAACCACCAACTTTCCCAGCCTAGCTGGATAGCTTTCTCACATGAAATAATCTAAAGTTCTTGATTTGAACCCCTAGCAGTGACGGGCAAGTAATTTGAAGTCAGCAACTTTAACCACTCTGTCAAGGAGGCCACAAGGAATGCAATGGATACTAAAACAATTAACCAGAAAATATATACCTGAAAGGTACTTTAAATTGTTGATATAGCTTCGTTAACAGATTTGTGAACTGTTCCACGACCTCTGCACTAGACTCCCTGGATTTACACACTGCACACATACACACCTTGATTGACTGTAACACCCCATATAAACCAGGTAAACTTTTCCTTTCTACATTTTCTGCAATTATATCATATTTACAAATATTATTATATGCCAACCAGTGAAATACAAAGTTGTATACATGAAATAAAATCCATATCAGTTGGAATATATCCTTCATAGTGCAGGTGATAAAGCATTGATGAACTTCCTTGCTGACATAAAGCTGCGTATATATTAACTGATATGTTTCCATAAATTTGTTAATTTACATTAAAAGAATTGATGATATTTGCTTTTTTAGATTCAAATACAATAACTTTACTACAATAGATGAAAGTTATTCTACAATAAAGACTTGGTTTGCACAGTTTTCACTCTGTTGAATGATGTAAGCAATCTGTATTTGTGTTTGTTTTCAAAGTTTTAATGAAAATTGTTGTTTTTTTACAAAATATAAAATACATGTATCAAAGAAATTGTTTTTCCAAAATATGCGATATACCTCGTATAGAAAGGAAAAAATATCCATATTTTCTTATTTCTCAGTGTTATATATAGCATATTTACCCCAAACAGACCAATATTCTCTTTAATTGAAGAAGCACATGAAGTACATTATAAGGAATAGTAAACCAAATTCTAACCTACCTGGTATGTAGTTCCTTCCAACAGCAAACATTTGTATAGGTAAATTTTCACAGGCAAGCTCCATTCTAGCAAAATAAGCTGCAAAGTGGACAGATACTGATATAATATAATCCTAAATATTCATTTTACATCTGTTTTAAAGGACTACTATTACTATTTCACAATCTTGACTGTTACTAAGACAAAGTAGGTTATTATAAGAGAATCTTCATCTGACATTTGGAATGAACTTTGCTAGGCCATGTCATTAAAACATTAAGTGCAATCCTAACAAGCAAAATCCAAGACATCCCAATACATGTATAAGTTCTTATGATGACAATTTGACTAATATAATATACCTCCTCTTAATTTTACAATATTTATATGTTACAAAATGAAATAAGTTCAAACAAATCATATGGATCACATTCATATAATTATACTACAGATATTATTTCTGCTTTGTCATATTTGGTCATGTAATAATACATGTCGTAAAATAAGACAGAATATACCCAGAAATATGATATATAATTTCTATAACACCCAAATGTTCTGGTTGTTACGGCAGATTACTCATGTAATATTATCACAGTCATACGTTTACAACACTTACATAGAAAAGAGAGGTGTGAGGTTCCGTGTAGAAACATGTGATCAGTGTGCCGGTCTGACATATCAATGGTTCCCAGTTTATGCTGCAGTCTGTATACAGAAGCCGGGTCCATCATATCTATGCCGCCAGATTCCTGCATGAAATAAGCAAATATGTTATTCAGACCATTAATTCACTTATAGTATAGTTTTTCAACAATTGGAAGTGACATACTATTGGCGAATAATTTAAAACTTTAATATTTGATTTTTTTTACATGGTTTTACTTCACACCAACATATGTCATAGGTCATATGGCGACTCTTATGATAAAAAATGACAAACTAACAAACAGGATCAAAGTTTAAATATATACAATCAGGTTGGATAACTTTATACAGCGCCATAATGTCATTTTTCTACATACTATTATTGTCATATAAAAGAATCATTAAGCATTCTAATACAAGAATGAAAACCATGGTCTAGTGGTGACCAAGTTTGCCTTTCAACCAAGGGAGTGTACATTGTAGCGCCCTTCCCCAAACATGACCAAGTTTCCTCATATGATAGTTTATTCAAGAAAGAAGACTTGAGAGTGCTTAGAATCAAACTTATCTTATATAATAATGCTTAAACTTAAATTGGTAGATCTATTGTGTAACACTATTAATGGAAGTATGGAATCATATCGATATCATGACCTCGATACCATGTCAAATCACTAATTCTTACACAAACTGATCATATCGGAGAAACAAATATGTTATTGAAAACAAGAGGGCCATGATGGCCCTGAGGTCGCTCACCTGTATATAGCCCCCCCCCGGGCCAATTTTTACCCAAGGGCTTTTATTTGTTTATTTCAACAAACTTGGTAGATACCCATAAGAAGATGTTTCATGCTCATTGGGTTTTTTAAAAGAAGATTTTTCAAGTTTTTACTATACACATATAGTTAAAAACAATGACACCCCTGGGGCAGGGCCAGTTTTGACCCCCGGGCTTTTATTTGAACAAACTTTGTAGATATTTACTTAAAGATGTTTTATGCTTAATATCTAAACTCTAGCTATTTGGGTTTTTTCAAAGAAGATTTTTAAGTTTTTGCTATACACATATAAGGAAAATCAATGACCCCCGGGGCGGGCCAGTTTTGACCCCAGGGCTTTTATTTGAACATACTTGGTAGACACCCATTAGAACATGTTTCATGCTAAATATCTTAGCTCTAGCTCTTTGGGTTCTTTAAAAGAAGATTTTTTAAGTTTTTACTATATGCATATAGGGAAAATCAATGACCCCCTGGGGCGGGGCCAATTTTCACCCAAGGGCTTTTATTTCAACAAACTTGATAGACATTCACTAGAAGATGTTTCATGCCAAATATCTAAGCTCTAGCTCTTAAGGTTCTTTAAAAGAAGATTTTTTAAGTTTTAACTATATGCATATAGGGAAAATCAATGACCCCCTGGGGCGAGGCAATTTTGACCCCAGGGTTTTTATTTGAACAAACTTGGTAGACATTCACTAGAAGATGTTTCATGCCAAATATCTAAGCTCTAGCTCTTACAGTTCTTTAAAAGAAGATTTTTTAAGTTTTTACTATATGCATATAGGGAAAATCAATGACCCCCCGGGGCGGGGCCAATTTTGACCCCAGGGCTTTTATTTGAACAAACTTGGTAGACACTCACTAGAAGATGTTTCATGCCAAATATCTTAGCTCTAGCTCTTTGGGTTCTTTAAAAGAAGATTTTTTAAGTTTTTTACTATATGCATATAGGGAAAATCAATGACCCCCTGGGCGGGCCAATTTTGACCCCAGGGTTTTTATTTCAACAAACTTGGTAGACATTCACTAGAAGATGTTTCATGCCAAATATCTAAGCTCTAGCTCTTACAGTTCTTTAAAAGAAGATTTTTTAAGTTTTTACTATATGCATATAGGGAAAATCAATGACCCCCCGGGGCGGGGCCAATTTTGACCCAAGGGCTTTTATTTGAACAAACTTGGTAGACACTCACTAGAAGATGTTTCATGCCAAATATCTTAGCTCTAGCTCTTTGGGTTCTTTAAAAGAAGATTTTTTAAGTTTTTACTATATGCATATAGGGAAAATCAATGACCCCCTGGGGCGGGGCCAATTTTGACCCCAGGGTTTTTATTTGAACAAACTTGGTAGACATTCACTAGAAGATGTTTCATGCCAAATATCTAAGCTCTAGCTCTTACAGTTCTTTAAAAGATTTTTTAAGTTTTTACTATATGCATATAGGGAAAATCAATGACCCCCCGGGGAGGAGCCAATTTTGACCCCAGGGCTTTTATTTGAACAAACTTGGTAGACACTCACTAGAAGATGTTTCATGCCAAATATCTTAGCTCTAGCTCTTTGGGTTCTTTAAAAGAAGATTTTTTTAAGTTTTTACTATATGCATATAGGGAAAATCTATGACCCCCTGGGGCGGGGCCAATTTTGACCCCAGGGCTTTTATTTGAACAAACTTGGTGGACACTCATTAGAAGATGTTTCATGCCAAATATCTAAGCTCTAGCTCTTACGGTTGTTTAAAAGAAGATATTTAAAGATTTTTCTTTCGGTTGCCATGGCAACCAGAGTTCTGTATGGAATTAAATTCTTTGAACAATTTTTAAAGGTGACCACCAAAGGAACATTCCTGTGAAGTTTGGATGAAATTGGCTCAGTGGTTTATGAGGAGATGTCATTTAAAGCAAAAGTTTACGGACGGACAACGGACGGACGCCGGACGAAAAGCGATCACAAAAGCTCACCCTGTCACTTTGTGACAGGTGAGCTAAAAAGACAGCACTTCTCTGATGAGTGTATACAAATCAAACCCACCACAACGGGAGCTTTAAACATTTCTGGTGCTGCCATCTGGTGTATGTGTTGAGATCGAAGTTGTGTAGAGAAGTAGGTGACCAGTTCTTGTTCTAACACAGCTAGTCTGCCAGTCAGGTAGTAAGCCTTGTGTCCAACATTCCTGAAACATATAACAGATATATATATAACAAACATAAAGTTACAACTGCATCTCAAATATTGAAAGTTTTTCAATAAAATCAAAACAATAGAAAGAAGTATAAGAAATTCTTTATTCATTGACTTATGATAATAAAACTTTTACTCAAGACATGATGTCATTTTGAAATTGACCAATAAAGCTATTGTTTCAAGTGTGTGTGTACTTGAATTCATTTATTCTCACCACTGGGTGCCCTTATGGGTGAATCCTCCCAAAGAGTACATGTATTAGTCATTTTAGATTTTGGAGGATAGTGCAAGATACAGATACAGAGAGATGCCCCAATTCCAGAATCTTCTCCTGGTTCTTTAGTGCGCCGAACGTTAGTTTAGTAATTTAAGTTGGCCAGTCCAGGAATCAAACCCACAATGTCGAGATTACAAGTCTGGCAATCTAACCTATTGAGCTATGCCGGCCAGCTTGTTTCAACTTTTCAATAGGTCAATAGGTAAATATATAAACACAAACTATGTTTTGGAAGCTGCATTCTCAATTACATGTACTGGTCAAGTTGATTTCATCCTTGCTTTTAAATTTTTTTTAAAAGTGGCAGATTTTTTACAGACACTATGAATACATACGGTGTTTACCTATAATGTGTTGAGTTTAAAATTTTAATAAATCTTCTCTGCATAAACTCAAAAGATGTTTATTTTACATTTAAAAGAGACTATATAGCTATTATCAGTATTTTCAAATATCAAATTTGAGCACTATATATCTTGAATGAAAATATACCACTTGCTTAAGACTTTTGTCAACTTAAAAAACAAGGTAAAATAGTTTTGTTATGATCACCACTCAAACTTTTATCAAGTTAATAAGAATTTATCATATGCTAAAACACGTTATTTTCACTAAGAAATAGCAAATCAAACATACCTTAATCTGACCATATCTGATTGTCTCAACACTTCCTCATGATCTACTGGTAATGTAGGCTTTCTCTCTGAAATATATTATATATACAATATCATTACAACTTCTGTGCCATTCTTAAATACCAATGCAATCTTTAGCGCATAAAGTCAGAGATTAAAATTCTTGGCAATATAAAGTAAGGTAAGGTAAAGTAAGGGTAAGGTATGGTAAAGTAAGGTAAATGTAAGGATAAGGTAAGGTATGGGATGGTAAGGTGTAAGTAAGGTAAGGTAAATTAAGGGTAAGATAAGGGTAGGTAAGGTAAGGGTAGGTAAGGTAAGTGTAAGATAAAGGTAAGGTTAGGGTTAGGTAAAATAAGCGTAAATAAGATAAAGTAAGGTTAAGGTAAGGGTAAGATTAGATAAAGTAAGGGTAAGGTAGGGTAAAGTGAGGGTTAGGTAAGGGTAAGGTAAGGTGAGGTAAGTATAACAAAATCAGTCTTTAATTGCACATAACATGTAAAACAATAATTTAATCTTGAATCTTTTTACCTTCATAAAACCTCAATATATTTATCTCAAATTTAATTTTCTTGAAATATTTTTACTCATCTGGAGGCATGCTGTTTTAATTGGAAGTTAATTCCTTTTTAGGTTAACAAACAATTACTGACTTTACCTTCAAAATGTTCCTGTAGAACTTTTAAGTCGTCTGGCTGGAAAATGGAAAATATTTTAAATCTTTGTAGCCATGATAATAATTCTTTATTTAGTAACATACACCGATATACTTTATGCCTCCTAGAAAATAGAGTGACCCTGTCTAAAATTATCAGCATTTGTCAAATATTACAGGACACGAACTGATTTGACCTTTACTCTGCAAAATGTATGTAACTGATCTGCCCGGCCTTGAAATTTTTAAACAGTTCATTTGTTAATATGAAAGACTCTGATATCAAAACATAAGTATTTAAAATACAAAAGTAGAGAGCAAGGGCGGATAGATGAACAAGCTTCATATTGGCATCATCGGAAACCATGGGTACTGATTCCACTGAACTACATTCAACATGAATGAAGTGTATATGTATCAAGTAAGCCTAAGTTAGCAAGGATGCATAATGGTGATATAGGTCCATTTATTTTATTGTTTCTAGCATTCAAAAGGTAACTATATATCAGTCGTTATATTTAAATCAGTTATGATTTCAATATTATTTAAACCAATGATAATATAAATCAATATGAGACTGCTCTCTGGATCACTAGCACTAACGACCAATCATAACCCATAAAACTAACATTCACTATACAATGTATTCTTCACAATTAATCTACATAAAAAAAGAATCTCCAGTCATTAATAAATGTATTGAATGACTTTTTATAAAACAAATTATGTAACAGTGCAGTAAATAACGCAGTAAAGAATTCCGGACAATATACTTACAACATCTATAGAAAGATTGCTGGGTAAGGACAATGCAAGTAACATGACTCTCTCCTCTACATCCCAGTATTTAACCTGCAAAATTCATTGTATTATGGTAGACTTTACCTCATTTCACAACAGTTAGTAAAAAATAATCAACTTTATTTCATTTTACAAAAGTTACAAAGAAATAAAAAACTTCATCTGAATTTAACAATAGCTAGTAGTTAATAATTACTTTTAGCTCATTTCTCAATATCTATTAAAGTATTAATGAATAATCAAATTACTTCATTCATCAATAGCTATAAATAAATAATCAAGTTTATTTTATAATACTTGTATTGATAATCAACTTTATCTCACATTTACGGGTAATATTAGCAATTAATAAATTATCACTGCAACAGGTTCCAGCCACTCCAGCATCTCTTCATACTTCATGTGAGAGAGCTATCCAGCTAGCTTATGGGGCGCCGGTGCCTGTTTGTGCCTGAAATTATGTTCAAAGGGGCACCTGAGGTTTTCCTCCACAAGTAAAGCTGGAAAGTCGCTACAAGACCTATACTGTGTTGGTGCCATGTTAAACTCAACCAAAAAATAAGCAAAAAATACTGCCAGATTCTACTTACCATAAGCTGTTTTAAGTGAGATTTGGTATTCTTTCCTTCTTCTTTGAGACACTTCATTTGTGAAGTCTGATCCTTTGTCTGAAATTTCACATTTAAAATTTTGGATATTCTTTATATACGAGGGGTTATCCAAAAATTCGTGGACTTTTTAAATATCTTTTGAACGTCAACTTGTATTGTAATGAAATTTTATCAGCATACATTGTAGAATATTATCAACACATTTTGAAAGGAACAGTTAATTGTGTAAATAAATAATGATTTTATATTGCTTTTAAATAAGCAAATACACGGCACCCGGCGCACGGTAGAAAAGCGCAGTAAATCATCGTATATTTCTTGCTAAAAAAACCTAAAAAATTAACTTAGAAAACCCGCTGAACATCGCATATTTCTTCTATGATGTCATTTAAGTAATTCGTTAAAATAATGGACGTCATTTCCGTTTATTTTTGTTGATATCGCTTGAAACGCCAGACGCCTTTATTGTTTACAACGAGAAAATGACGGACTCGCGGTAATTAGAAAGTCGCGCGATCATAAAGCGATCATAATTTTTTGTTGTAATTTGGGAACGACACCTACAAAAACTTTTTTAAAAATCAGCAGACGAACAGAGAAAAGAAAATTTCACGATCATTAGTGTTAAAGTGGCATAAGAAATTTAGTGATGGACATTACTTTGAGAAGCAGGAACTGTCATTGACCGCGTAACGTTGGAGCACAAGTTGTATGTTAATATTATGACGTTGACGTCAATAACATTTTGGAGTGCGCCGCTGTCGCCGACATGTGTTTATGTAAAATTAAATATTGTTGTAATGTAAGAAGCTACTCACATGAATTTTTCTGTGTTTATTTGTTATTAATTCTTCTAAGCAGTGTAAGAATTTCAAATTAATATCTCAAATATATTTTATGCAACAAAGAAAGTCCACGAATTTTTGGATAACCCCTCGTACATGTACATAATTTTACAAGTTATACAACTACTGAAACCAGATTATATGTACATGTGGATTCTACATAAGAAATTAGATTTGTTGAAAATTCACAAAACTTAAAATGTCAAAAGAACCCTTTGTTACAATCTCCTAAAGGCAGTCATTTCTTTCACTTAAAACATTTTCTAGTTTTTACTTACAACAAAATCATACCAGGAATTAAAAATACAAATAACTTAGTGAAACACAGTACAATTAAACTACCTTTGTTCCACTCCGTTTTTGTTCACCAACTATTTTAGCTATTTGGCTGGCAATATTTTCTCTTTTCAACTCAAGCTTCACTTTCTCCTCTCCAAGTTGAAGATATCCTGCATAGTCTTGTTTCTATAGCAACAAAAACATGACAAAACCTTCAAGTAATGTTTTTTGAAGTATCTTGAATGGTTTACTGTGATCTATGTTGTTGCAAAAAATAAAAATAAAAAATACTTCTCTTGCTAGCGTTCAAAACTTGGATCAAGATTTCCATATTAAAAAAAAAACACAACAACATATGATGCTGTGACAGTGCCTAAATCACAGAAATAATGAACATTGACTTTTAATCTGGATGCATGTGTGAAATTTGCAAACATTTTGTCAATTAGGTTTGGAGAAAACTGCTCATAAAAATTATCTTTTGTGAACCACTGAATGCAATTTATACATATAGTTCAACAATTAGAAAATAAATAAATAAATGTGCGAATTAAACATGTTATCATTTTTATGAATAAAATTAATTTTACATTTTTAATTGATGATTTATAAAAAAAAACAACAAAAAAACATTAATTATACCCCCAAGTTATGTAAAGGACTATTAACTTTGCAATACTTCTTAGTCTTACCAACTGATCAATATTAATGTCCAGCCCTCTTCTTTGTAGGTTTACTTTCAGCTGCTCAATATCCACCAATTTCTCCTCAAGGTCAAGGTCATAACTGAAAGCAGATGAGATATCGGAGTGTCTGTCACTCACAAATATAGATGAACTATAATACCGCTTCTGTGAAAAACGATCATTAGGAAGCATTGGTTGTTCTGTTAAGTGTTTCTTCGTCTTTAACAAGTAGTTGGAATTTTGCCAAGAATGACTTTCTCTGTTTAAAAGACATTTCTCCATGCTCATTAAACAAATTCTAGACTTTACCATCATTGCCTCTCTTTGACAACATTTTCCCTTGTACCTCTGACTGAAATTTCTGCTAATTGTCAGATGCTGAAATCTTCTACATGATTTCAAATATGTATAGGTCAAAGGTCTTTCTAGAATTCCACTTTTCGGGTTCATCAAATGTTTCCACATAGTATTCATGATGACAGACTGAGAATATTTTCAGCAGTGTCTGAAGTTCTGAAAGGGATAAAAACTTGCAGTGACTTATCATTTTCTCAACCTGATTTCTTATAAAAATGGTAATCTTTTGATATCAGAAAAACATAACGACTTTTTGGGGTAAAAAAAAACAGTATTTCACTTAAAAGAAAACTTGATCACAAATAAAAAGAAAAATTCATAAAATAAAAATAAACTATTAATCAGTTAATTATAATGTTGAAATGCTCAAATAAACATAAACAAGTTAGCATTTTAAAAGCCAGTTCTTGCTTCATTAATTTTAAATGTGCCTGTTTTATCTTTGACATTGTGTGACAGTAAGTATGTAAGCAATATACTATTAAACCTTTACTGTATAGCTAACCCAAATCATAAGTCTTGTTTAAATAAAACTTAACAGTAAGTGAAGAAAAAGATTAAAGTTCTACGGAAGCATTCTGGTGCCAACTCATAATGTTCAATAAAAAAAATAAACTCCTACGTAGGAGATAAAAAAGCTTAATTAGATGTTTATAACTCCTACATAAGAGATTAAAAAAAAGCCAAAAGCCTAATTAGGAGTTTATATCTCCTACATAGGTTTTTATGACTTTATAAGAAATGTTATATTGGCAATGGAACAAGACATGTGTCAATGCTGCCACACTTCACCTTTCAGGTTTCTGAAGTGTACAGTGTCTTAGGGTGAAGTGTCTGTAAGCATTGGCGATGTATCCTGAAAATTTGCTTCACAGCTCTTCGACAAACTTATATAAGCATTTCAATGTCTAAAATATGATTTTATGAAAAGTTTAAAAGGCTTTAAAGATTACATTTTCAATACAAACTAGCTGAATCAAACGAGCAATTTATCCATTTTCGGCCATTTCGTATGTGTATAATTAAATAACTAAACAGACATAATACAGAAACATCGTTAAATATATGCAGAGAATGACGTCTTTAGTGAGTTCAATTTTCGCTACTAGTTGTATTGCTCACAATAATTCAGATTATTGAGTTCTGGTTATTTCGCTCGAAATCATCTCTGGCTACAGAATAAGGGTATTTACTAAAGCAGCTTGCCACAATTACATTTTGACCCATATAATCTATTTTCCTACATAATATGCTATCTTAAGTTATACTCTAACATACATATCCGTCAAACTCTATGCTTTTAGTTCTTTGATATATATATCATCCTATGTAGGAATTATAAAGTCCTAATTAGGCTTTTTTATCTCCTACGAAGGAGTTATAAAGTCCTATGTAGGACTTATAAACTCCTAATTAGGCTTTTTTTTATCTCCTATGTAGGAGTTACAAAGTCCTACGTAGGCCTTTTAAATCCTAATTAGGCTCTTTTTTTTCTCCAAAAAGAATTTTTATTTTTTTATAAAAATGAAAATCAATAGCAGCATGTGACCGTAACAAGAGTTAGTCGCGAAAATCTATTACAAAACCCAATTTATTAATATATATGTTCATAATTTATGGAAGCATTAGCTTGCAAATAAACAACTTTCTACTTTTTTCAAGCATAATCACCTGATGTTTAATATAACTCCTACTTATTCTTCATTGATTAGTAATAAAACTTTAATAATTTTTTTGTTTGATCCATGTTGTTAAACGCTTGTTGGTAAGACGATCCTATTACTTACGGTCAGACATGACAATTTACTTTTCCATATGCATACATTATATGAGATTCTGACTTTCAAAAGAATATATCTTTGACCAGCCAGTGTTTTTGCAAAGTTATCTCTCTTGCTGCTTGCACAAAAAAATGTTTGTCCCAGCTCCAAGTAATGAAACTAAATGGAAATTATGCAGATCCCATATACAATGTATAATTTCTGCTTTTGCAGTATCCACGATGCCTGGCAATATATATTAATCTTCCTAACAATGCAAACAGAAGCTGTGTGGCAGTTGCACTAAATTAATACAGGGTATTATTCTATCTGTATAATTTCCAAGAAGTTTCACTGCATACAACAAGAGCCATGTCAACATGGCCATCCCTGCCGAATGTGTTTGCTCATTGTAAGAATGTATAATTATGTAGTAGAGCAGAATAATTCAATTTTAAGAGGTCTTTTAATAATGAAAACTGATGGCTGAAGTGATTACAGATTTGAAACCTATGTGAATACTGATGGATGATAATAACAAAGGGCAATAACTGAAAAATAATGCAGGGTAGGTTATCATTCTTGAGTGCTGCACTCCTCCTCAATGAGATCTATCCACCTATGAAGTTTCAAGTTAAAACCTCTAACACTTTTAAAATAATTAAGGTCTAGACAAAAAGTATGAAAAATAACACAATAACTCAAAAATTATAAAGGGTAGAGTTATCATTTTTGCTTACAGCATTCCTCCTCAATAAGATAAATCCACATATGAAGTTTCATGTTGACATCTCAAACACTTTTTGAATTATGCTCCACTTAGGTGAACAATTAGGTATGAAAAATAACAAAGGGCAGTAACTCAAAAGTTATGAAGGATAGAGTTATCACTCTTGTGCACTGCAAACCTCCTGAGTGAATCTATCCACCTATGAAGTTTCATATTGATATCTCAAAGGCTTTTTTAGTAATGATCTGAACAAAAATTAAGTTTAAAAAATAACAAAGGGCAACAAGGGTGGCATAGTCACAAAATACACCTGTTTACGAAAGCTTTAGATGAAGATGGGGGCATTATGGATAAGTGTTATCTAGCAAGCAAGTTTTTATTCTTGGCACTGTGTTGTTAAATGAACCTTAAAACAAATCAGTAGGGAAGATATGCAGAGGATGTGTGACCTTGACCTTGGTCGCAGGGACCTGAATTTTATGCACGGCACTCAGCCTCACAATGATGAACATTTGTGCCAAATTATATTGAAATCCCTCTATGCATGTAGAAGTTTTGCTCCAGACAAGCGTTTTTCTATGAGCTCTAACTGTGACCTTGACCTTTGACCTAGAGACTTGGTTCATGTGCAGGGCACTACATCTCATGGTGGTGAACAATTCTATAAAGTAACATTAAAATTCCTCCATGCATGTAGAAAATATGCTCCGGACAACATCTGGATATTTAATCATCTCCAGTGACCTTGCAAATATTAACCTAAATTAAATGTGTCACTCCTGTAGTCATGATAGTTACCATTTGTGCTACAAATCCATCAATAAAAGATGACTAAATGGTCCCTATACACATCTTCAAATTTTTATCTGAACTTTGACCTCTATGTGTTACCTTGACTTTGGTCGCAGGGATCTGAATTTTGCGTGCGACACTCAGCCTCACAATGGTGAACATTTGTGCCAAGTTATATTGAAATCCCCCTATTAATGTAGAAGTTTTGCTCCGGACAAGCGTTTTTCAATGAGCTCTAAGTGTGACCTTGACCTTTGACCTGGAGACCTGGATCATGCATGGAGCAATACATATCATGGTGGTGAACATTTCCACAAAGTATTATAAAAATTCTTCCATTCATGTAGGAGATATGCTCCAGACAAAATCTGGATATTTCACCATCTTTAGTGACCTTGACCTTGCATATATTGACCTAAAGTACATGTGTCACAGCCGTAGTCATGATAATGACCATTTTGTGTTACAATCCCTCAATAAATGATGATTAAATCGTCCCTATACACATCTTCATATTTTTATCTAAACTTTGACCTCTATGTGTGACCTTGACCTTGGCTGCAGGGACCTGAATTTTGTGCGCGACACTCCGCCTCACAATGGTGAACATTTGTGCCAAGTTATATTGAAATCCCTCTATGCATGTGGAAGTTTTGACTGGACAAGCGTTTTTCAATGAGCTCTAAGTGTGACCTTGACCTTTGACCTAGAGACCTAGTTCATGTGCGTGACACTGCTCCTCATAATGGTGAACATTTCTATGAAATTTCATTAAAATCCCTCCATGCGTGTAAGAGATATGCTCCGGACAAAATCTTGATACACTCAGCCTCACAATGGTGAACATTTGTGCCAAGTTATATTGAAATCCCCCTATGAATGTAGAAGTTTTGCTCCGGACAAGCGTTTTTCAATGAGCTCTAAGTGTGACCTTGACCTTTGACCTGGATCATGCATGGAGCAATACATATCATGGTGGTGAACATTTCCATAAAGTATTATAAAAATTCTTCCATACATGTAGGAGATATGCTCCAGACAAAATCTGGATATTTCACCATCTTTAGTGACCTTGACCTTGCATATATTGACCTAAAGTACATGTGTCACAGCCGTAGTCATGATAATGACCATTTGTGTTACAATCCCTCAATAAATGATGATTAAATCGTCCCTATACACATCTTCATATTTTTATCTAAACTTTGACCTCTATGTGTGACCTTGACCTTGGCTGCAGGGACCTGAATTTTGTGCGCGACACTCCGCCTCACAATGGTGAACATTTGTGCCAAGTTATATTGAAATCCCTCTATGCATGTGGAAGTTTTGCTCCGGACAAGCGTTTTTCAATGAGCTCTAAGTGTGACCTTGACCTTTGACCTAGAGACCTAGTTCATGTGCGTGACACTGCTCCTCATAATGGTGAACATTTCTATGAAATTTCATTAAAATCCCTCCATGAGTGTAGGAGATATGCTCCGGACAAAATCTTGATATTTCATCATCTTTAGTGACCTTGACCTTGTATATATTGACCTAAATTATATGTATCACAGCCATAGTCTTGATAATGACCATTTGTGTTACAATCCCTCAATAAATGATGACTAAATGGTCCCTATACACATCTTCATATTTTTATCTGAACTTTGACCTCTATGTGTGACCTTGACCTTGGCCGCAAGGACCTGAATCTTGCGCGCGACACTCCCCCTCACAATGGTGAACATTTGTGCCAAGTAATATTGAAATCCCTCTATACATGTGGAAGTTTTGCTCCGGACAAGCATTTTTCAATGAGCTTTAAGTGTGACCTTGACCTTTGACCTAGAGACCTGGTTCATGTGCGCGACACTGCTCCTCATAGTGGTGAACATTTCTATGAAGTTTCATTAAAATCACTCCATACATGTAGGAGATATGCTCCGGACAAAATTGGACGCCGCCAGCCCGCCCATACGCCCAACCGCCAGGGGCGTTCCCATAATACGTCCCGTTTTTCAAACGGGCGTATAATAACTGAAAAATTATGCAGGGTAGAGATATAATTCTTGTGCACTGCACTCCTCCTTAATATGATCTATCCACCTATGAAGTTTCAAGTTGATACCTCTAATACTTTAGAGATATGCTCCAGACAAAAATGTCAGACGGAAGGATGGACAGACTGATGGACGGAAGGACAGACAGACAGAGACTAAGTTATATTTTGAGTTTCAAGTGAATACCTTATATAGTAAATACTTAATAAGTTACAGTCTGGACAAAAAATAAGCATGAAAAATAACAAAGGGCAAGAACTGAAAAATTTTGGATGGTAGCGTTATCATTCTTGTGCACTGCACTCCTCCTCAATGAGATCAATCCACCTTAGGGCAATAACTCAAAATTATAATTATAGGGAAGAGTTATCATTCTTGTGCATGGCATTCCTCCTCAGTAAGATCTATCCAGCTATGACATTTCATGCTGACATCTCAAACACTTTTGAGTTATGCTCCACTCAGGTGAAAAATTATGTATGAAAAACTATGAAAGGTAGTGTTATCATATTTGTGCATTGCACTCCTCCTGAGTGAGATCTATCCACCTTTGGAGTTTCATGTTGATATCTCAAAGGCTTTTTGAGTTATGCTCTGAACAAAAATTAATTTTGAAAAATTACAAAGGACAATAACTCAAAAATTATGCAGGGTAGAGTTATCATTCTTGTGCATTGCACAATGAGATCTATCCACCTATGAAGTTTCAAGTTAATAACAAATACTTTTCGAGATCTGCTCCAGACAAAAATGTCGGATGGACGGATGGAAGGACAGACGGATGAAGACTATTTCTATATCCCCCACCACCTTTCGGCGGGGGATAAAAAGGGCATGTAGCAAACAAACTTTGAAAGTATATAGTTCATAAGGAAAAAATGACAAGTCACTTTTACTTGTAATATATTTATTATCAGTTACACAGTCTTCAAATAAACATTCAATATCGTATAACAGCATAAAACAAGAGCCACAGCCTAGCTGGGGCCATGCTGAACCTTTTCTTTTTTCGTAAGTCAAACACATCAGAGTAAGCTTTTCATAATAAAAACTTATAACTCCTACAAAACATTTTTTCTATAATAAATCAAATTCAAATTTTATATTTAACCTTAATGCTCAGTGTCATTCAAAAGTCAAGGTCACATTTGAATTAATTATCATATCAATTTTTGTCATAAGTGCTCTTTTGCCAAAGAATGAATCAAATCCATAAATTCAGAATAGTTTTGTTATAAGTGTTCTTTTGTCTAAGTATAAATCAAATCTGTAAATATATAGCAAAGGTTTATCAATTGAAGCAAATTTCAATTGCTTGACCTTGAAAAAAAAAAAATCAAGATCAAATAAAGATCAAAGTCATATCAGAATAAACTAGAACTATCACCAAATGCGATTAATACCCCCACAAGATTGCTTCAGAAATGAGGATGTTACTAGTAAC